TCTCCAGGTGAGCATCCAGTTCAGTCTTCTCTGCTTGACCAAGCTTTTCTTCTGTGAACTATGGTTAGAGAGACAGGTTGGCAATACTAAGTTAGCTTATAGAAATAGTTTCACAGTATAACTTTAGGACAGTAACTCTTTACTCATATTAGTTGCAGATCATGCTTTCAAAGATGTAAGCATTATACAGTCTTCACTAAAGAAGTAAGGATAAATTTGAAAGTTGGTAAGCTCAACAACATGCTCTTATTTTCAGAAAATGGGGGTGGAGATGGTGTTAATCAGATTGAGACGAGAAGGGCCATTTAAATAAATCCTCTGCTCTACCTAGTGCTCAGAGTTCTCATTTGAAGCACTTTACCTGATTTTGCATAGCGCTCTTCAAAACATAAAACAAAAGGAACTAAGGTAACTAAGGCAATTAAAAGATTAGAAAATACACACGGAAATAGGATAGTAATTAAAGCTGACGCTTCTCCAAAGTAAAAGCAGAAGGCACAACAGATTCTCTTTGTAGCTACCTTCAATGTATTTAAAGAAGGTTGTCCTGTCCACAGCAAACAGGATAAAAAGCAGTAGTGTTAAACTAGAATATGAAGACTCAAATTAGAATTAAACATTAGAGAATGCTTTCAAAGACAAGGATTAAGTGCTAAATCAGACTGCCCAGGGATGTTGTGGAATATATATCTATTGCAGGGGAGGGGCTTTTTTTCCTCTCCCCCCCCCCCCCCCCAAGAATAGGCTAAACACATCTTTCAGGAATTGCTTAGATATAATTGATCCTTTACAGAAAGGGTTAGATGACCTTTAATGTTCTCGTCTAAATTGTGATTTCAGTGACAGTGAAATACAATATAAACTTCATTTAGCTAAATAAAAACTAGTAGGCTACTCATTTCACTTGATATGTAATCCATGCCAGCTCTTATTAATACACAACCAGTTTGCACTTCAATCCCAGCTCTCTGTGAAAGGGGGAGGACACACAGAAGTTTCATGTCAGGGAACCCAACAAGAACAGAACTAATAGCATTTTGCCCCACTCTTGAAAAAGCTAGCTTCCTCACGATGACAATCTCAGCATTTGACAGTCTATTCAAAGTCAGGCATTTTCAGTTAAAAGAACCTGGCTTACAAGTAAATGCCTAACAAGCTTACCAATTAAGAACATAATAGAACTGGAAGCATTTTGATTGTCAAACTTTATTCCCAAAAAGTTATTAGGTGGAATATTTAAACTGTCTGTAAGAAACAGGAATACAACAAAAATAGAACTATATTAGCCAAGGTTGTCTTAATTTCCATTACATGTAGACTAAAAATAACTTTGACACTGTGCACTTCTAAAGCGTGGATAAATACTGCGCCTTTGGGGGTTCTGCATACATGCAAGCTCTTCTGTGAGAAAGTTCAGCTGCAGCACAGGGAGAAAGGGTATTTATGGATCTACTGTTATTCATGTTTAAAAGGCTCTTTTAAAAGGTGTCAGGTACTGTAAATTGTTCATGAAAACTTTTTACAGCTTTATTAAAATACTATCTAAACGGTTTTAAAGTTACTTTTCTGATTGACTAATTCCAGGCAATTGTATTTGTTTCTGAAATGGGCTTGCCTATTAACATTTCTGTAAATCTACTCAGGAATGTGAAAACTGCTTAGCCAACGATATTGTAGACTTCAAGTATACTCTTAAAGAAAAGAGTTAATTTTAGTAATGCCAAGCAGCATAATAAACAGTAGTTGGAAACAGTAATTGGATAGAAGTATAGTTTTCATCATGAACATAACGCACTACTGCTGCCACTTCGATTTTTCAAGTCGGTCACCCAGTTCAAAAACTGAAATTTGAACTGGTCTGTTTTACATTCTTTTTCAGATTTTACTCAATCCCTTCTTAAGGCGGAGGTGGGGAAGGGGGGAAAGCACATCAGGCACATGAAGATTTTTTCCTCTGATGGAAAAAGGAAAAAAAAAACATACACACAAAAACACTGCTCTAGAGAGGGCAGATACCATTGATTATCTACTTTGAAGAGATCTCTCCTAAAAAAAAAAAGTTTTATTTTTATTAAAGCTCAATACACATGGTATAAGTATATTTAATATAAGCACTGCTGCTAAGGAGGAAAAGCCCAGCTCATCATTCCTGACTGCCATATGGGCAGCTTGTCTATTGCAGAGGCTGGCAAGAGGAAGGACTCATTCCTACTACTACACTCTGTGTACCTCGGATACCACTACCTATACCTACTTTTCATATCACACAAATTGCAACTACTGCAAGCTCCACTGAGAACAGGTGCTTCAAAGCAGGTTCTACCCATCAGATGGAAGGGTAGTCTTTGGATGAAGATGGCCAGTAGGCTCAATTTTACTAAGCTGTACTTCTAAGGGGTTTTTCCCACTCAAGGTAAAAAACAAAAATACTTCTCTCTGCAGCTTTCTGTAGATTACCAACGAGACTATGGTGGTCTGAACACAATGCAATTTTATCCACAGGAGAAACAGGTTTCTTGGAACATAAATACCAGGTGCTTGTGGGTAAAACAACACCAATCCATCTGTAACAGGAAAGTTGGGTAAGCCTGTGAAACACCAACAAGATGTTCAGCAGCAGCAAGCTGAAATGGGAATTCTAAGTGGTTTTCTTACAAACCATATTACACTGCACTGAACTACTTCACAACATTTGTTGTTGCTTTTAATATCGCAAAGCGACTACTGTCAGGTCATATTAAATCATCTAATGATACCTGAACATAAGAATTTAACTCAATTCACAAAGCTGTACTTTTTACTTGAGGACAAAAATCCACAGCCAGTTGATATAAAAAGAATTCACAAAAAGATTGTCCCTCAATACCATCTGCACACCTTATGTGGATAATAACTTAAGAAAAAATGGGGGGGAGGGGGAGCAGCAGTAGCATACAGAGTGCCAGCAACTTAGATGATAAGGAACAGGTTAAAGATTTTTTCCCCCCCCCCCCCTCCTTCTTCCTTCCCTCTACTTCAAATTAGAGAAAGTGGCAGCTGGCAGAGGAAAATTACTACTTCCACATTTCCACTGAATTTTAGTCTACATGAAGCAGACCACTGATGTAGCTATTCAGTCATAAATCAACAATGCTGATAGAGCACACTGGAGTAAACCACAGCTCATACCAGCTTTAAATCATGACAGACTCCAGAAAATTTCTATTATGTTTAATATAATAAGCTGATTTACATATAAAAAGTCAAGATAAAAGAAAAGAAATCACAAGGTCCCATCATAGGATCTTACAATAAAGGGTAAACTGTATCCCTTTTTCCCTTGTCCAGCAAGAAAAGTAAATCGGGTGGAGGTTGGAAAGGAAGAGATGGCCTGGGAAACACGTAGAGCTGGAAAGTGGGGGGGAGGGAGGGAGTGTGTGGGAAGAAGTCAATCACAAAGAAACCCCCCCTCCAAAAGCTTCGAGTTCATTTACGTTTGAACAAAAATGCTTTCAGATGAATTTCTATTCTTAGAGCTCTGCTGCTGACCGCTGGTTTTGCTAGAATATCGATATTCAGGGCAATACATCAGGCTGGGTTCAGACCAGAGGGTAACTTTAATCATGTTCCAGGCCTGACAGTGACCCATAAAGAATTCACGAGAAACCAGAGTGGATGACTACACACTGCTTGCATGTCCACCTCCCTACAGGAAATCTGTCCAGGTTTGATTATATAATGCAAGCAGATTACAGCTCAAGACAACAGCCAAGAAACAAAAGCCAATTATAGTGCCCTTAGCATAAAGAAAGGGGAAAGACTGACTTGGAAACAATGGCCTATCAAACAAGATTAAAAACAACACTGAAACCGAAACAAACAAACAAAAAAGCCTAAGTGGACAGACACGTTCAAGCGTCTCACAAAAGCTGCAACTGATCAGAGCGCAAAATATGTTTCCCGGCTGTTAAAAATGTATCTGCTTCTTTCGGGCGAGACACATTTTTAGTTTTTCCACACGCGGGGATACACGAAGTACAACTGTGTGTCGCCGCAGCTGTCGCCGGCCCAGCCCTGCCCCCTCCCCCAGGCCAGACCTGTCCCGACCCCAGGC